CACCATGCCAAACCTAAAAACAAAACCAATCATATTTTTTTAATGAAAGGAAAGGAATAAAAATAGAACTCACTGGAACCAAAGGAGTGTCTTCTATAGGAAACTTGGAATCATCTAACAAAGACAAAGGATCCTTTTTCTCACAGCTCTCCTGGCTGATGAGCGTGTCTGCATAGTTGGGCTGGGGGAAGATCAGGTGACTCTTCCTCGAGTCCGCAGTGAGGGAGACCTCATGGGAATAGGTTTGCAGGAACGCCCGCACCCCATCCACGCCCACAAAGTGCGAGGTGGGAATGCCTGCCAACCCACTTCCTGAAGCCTGGAGCAGACGTGACGTGTGCCAGCGTCGCAATCTGAGAGCCAGAAGCACAATGACAAAGGCAAGAAAGACGCAGGAGACAACAGCCACTGCCACCACCAGGTACAGTGTGAGACTGGAGTCATCAGGGTTGGTGGAGTGCTCAAGACTTCCCAGGTCGGCCAGGATGTCTGGGATGCTATCAGCCACAGCCACCGTGAGTGTGACAGTTGCAGAGAGAGGAGGCTGGCCATGGTCCTGAACTGCCATCACCAGATTCTGCTTGAGCACATCTCTGTCCAGCAGGGCCCGCGCAGTGCGCACCTCACCAGTGTGCAGCCCCACCACAAAAAGCCCTGGCTCGCTTGCCTTGAGCAGGCGGTAGGACAACCAGGCGTTCTGACCAGAGTCTTTGTCCACTGCCACGACCTTGGTCACCAGGTAGCCAGGTTCTGCAGAGCGGGGTGCCAGCTCCACACCAGTGGAACCATCAGTGGGAAGTGAGGGGTACAGGATCTCTGGAGCATTGTCATTCTGGTCCAGCACAAATAGACTCAGTGACACATTGCTGCTGAGTGGTGGGTCCCCATTATCAGTGGCAGTCACCTGCATCTGTAGGTCACGAAACTGCTCATAGTCGAAGGATTGAAGTGCATACAGGACTCCTGTGTCAGAGTTGATGGAGATGTAGGAGGATAGAGGTGCTCCCTGGACAGTGTCTTCAGTTAGGGAGTAAATAACCTGAGCATTCTCTTTGCTGTCTGGGTCTAGTGCAGTCACCGAGAAGATGGAGGCACCTCTTGGGTTGTTCTCCGGGATATAGGTAAAGTAGGATTTGTGAGAGAAGGTGGGTGGGTTGTCATTGACATCTGCCACTTGCAGGGTGAAGTGAGTTTCCGTCGATAGGGGTGGACTTCCTCCATCTGTGGCTGTTACAGTAATATTGTAAGAGGATACCTGTTCCCTGTCAAGAGCTTGCTGTGTCACCAATCTATAATAACTGTCAATAGACTTTTCTAACTTAAATGGTAGATTCCCTGATATAGAACAGATGACCTGTCCATTCTGCCCAGAGTCTAGATCATGTACGTTTAAAAGAGCTATAACAGTCCCTAGAGGTGAATCTTCCTTCAGGGGACTAAACAGAGATGTGATGGTCACCTCTGGACTGTTGTCATTTACATCTTCTACTGTAATCAACACTTTTGCAGTTGCAAGATATGCTCCTCCATCTTCTGCTTGTATTTCTATTTCATAGAAACCTGTTTCTTCATAATCTAGATTTTCCAATATTTTTATTTCTCCAGTGTTTTTGTTTAGTTGGAATTTCAACAATTGTGTATCAGGTAATTTTCGAAATGAATATGTCACTTCTCCATTGGTTCCTTCATCCCTGTCGGTGGCAGTGACTGTCAGCAACTGTGTGCCTACAGGCAAGTTCTCTGGAACATTCACTCGGTATTCGGGCAAAGTAAAGACAGGTGCGTTGTCATTTGCATCGAAGACAGTGACACTAATGAGGACAGTGCCAGATCGGAGAGGGTCACCCCCGTCGGAGGCAGTGAGGACCAGGTGATGCTGTGCCTCTTCCTCGCGATCCAGGGCTCGCTCCAGCACCAGCTCCGGGTACTTGGCACCATTGACATGGCTCTGAACTGCTAGGGAGAAGTGTCTATTGGGGCTGAGCTGGTAGCTCTGTAGGGAGTTCACGCCCACATCCGGATCAACAGCTTCCGGGAGAGGAAAACGCATTCCTGGAGCGACATTTTCATTAATTTTTACGTCTAGATTTTCTGCTTGGAATTTTGGGGCATTATCGTTGATATCAGTTACTTCTACTTCTATCCCGAAAAGTTTCACTCTATCTTCTACAAGAATGTTAAAACTCACCAGACAGCGCGCGCTCTGAGCGCAGAGCTCCTCCCGGTCTATCCTGCCCGCGGTGACCAGGCTGCCGCTCCGCGGGTTCAGAGCGAAAAGCTGCGCCCTACCTCTGGAGACGATGCGGACTCCGAGCTCCTCCAGCTCCCGGGGCTCCAGCCCAAGGTCCTTGGAAATGTTGCCCACGAAGGAGCCTTTGTTCAGCTCCTCAGGCACCGAGTAGCGGATCTGCCGGGCATCAGCCTCCCTTGGCACACCGAGGAAAAGGCAGAGCAGAACCAGCGCGCTGCGGTCGGAGCTATTCCTTTGAGCGGCCATTGTTGTTTGGTCACGGAATTCTGGCAATGTCCTCACTGGGCACGTTGCGTGTTTTCACCGGTTCCTTTCCCTTTCTCTGGCTGCAAGGAGTTTCTGTAGCCTGAGCACCTTAAATTCTAGAGTGAGTGTCGCTGCAGCCTCGGAGTCAGTTTGTAGGAGCTGTGGAGCTTTTGTGTAGTTGGAACCCTGAGAATTCGGATGGAGCGCTGGCTGCGTTTCTCTCCTAGTAGGTGAACAGCGACGCCCAGAGTCCTCAGAAGTTACTGCACACACTGTGTATGCCATAGAAATCAAACGCTACTCTTTGTTGGAGATTTTATTTTATTTTACATTACTTCCTTGGTTTCTCGGCTGATATCATGTCATCAACCATTAGTACATTTCTTTACTGGGTAGAATAAAATGGAATAAAAATAGTTTCTTAAATATATATATTTCAACACACTTCCCAACAGAAAAATATCCACGTTAAGAGGTAAGTAATGCTTATTTCCTATGAATTTCTAGATATATGCAGAAAAGTCTTACGGTCTTCTTTGATATTTAGATTTAAAAGGCCCGATTGTGTTTTAACATTCATATAGAGACTATAAGAGATATACCCCTAACAATTCATTTTAAATCTTTTTATTTTAGATTTAATTAAGTTTGTTTAGCATTAAGATTGTATAAATGGTTTTCAAATATTATTTTCTAAATTAGTTTTATTGAGCCTCAATGAATCTTTTTAATGTATTTTTATTTTAGGCATATGTTATCAGAAGTTGGTTTGACCTACTTAAATAAATTGAGCAGATAACCACAAACTAAGAAGAACATGTCCGTATTGTAATTGGAAGAGATATATGCACAGGAATTTCAAATATTAGTTTTCAAAAATAAAGTTAGAAATAGTGATGTAGTTTTAAAAATAAGTGCTCATGTCAAATGACCTGTTTTCATCAGGGCACTGATGGCAATTTAAATATCTTCTTTTAGCATTTTGAATGGAATCCCAAAGTAAAGTGGTACACATGTCTTCAATTGTATGTGTCCATCAACCCAGCAGCAGTTCTCCATTCAAAAGTGAATGGTTTAGAGGGTCACTTCTTTCATACAGAGAACACATTGTTCAGCAGTATTTATGTCACTATGCCCCAAGTATGTAACTCTTCAAAGGTTTCATCTTTTGTCTTCAAAGATTTAAATCAGATAATCCAAGACAGAAACTGAATGAAAAGGGCAAGAGCATTTCATTTCCTTTGTGGGAAATTCTTGATCTTGCAATGTAGAGGAAAGATTGGAAAAGAGTACAACTTGAGCTCCAAGAAAAGATAAGTAAATATAAGAAGAAAGCCAGAAGGACCAAAGTTGAAGAAAAATATTTATCTACAGTAGTTAGTATTAAGTTCTGGGGACCATAGAAGCCTTGGCAATGGAAACAAATTTTTGACTCCTCCCCCAAGAAAAATGCATCATACATTTATAACTTCACATATAATTTCAGGATTTTATGAATCTGCTTACCATCCCTCTCAATGCTTATAGTTTTATTATTTTTTTGTTTTATTTATTTATTTATTTAATCCTCAGTCGAGGACGTTTTTGCATTTATCTTCAGATAGAGCAGGAGGAAGAGAGAAAGAAACATCAATGTGAGAGAGACACATCAACTAGCTGCCACCCACAGGACCCCAACCGGGGCGGGGGCAAATTGCAATCGAGGTACTGCCCTTAGCGGAACCGAACCCAGGTCTCCCTGGTCCGTGGAGGGACGCTCTAACCACTGAGCAAACTGGCCAAGGCTCAATGTTTACAGTTTTAAAAAGTATTAAAATAGTAAAGAAAGACATCTAAGTCATCTATAAGAATGTCTGCAATAAGTGTTTTTTTGTTTTTGTTTTTTGGAAGCAGTATTTAATGCTTTGATATTTAAAGAGTGCCTGAATATTATTAAACTTTAAAAACAGCCCTGGCCGGTTTGGCTCCGCGGTTAGAGCATCGGCCTGCGGTCCAGAGATACCCGGGTTTGGTTCCCCTAAGGGCATCGTACCTCGGTTGCAGTTTGTCCCCAGCCTTGGTCGGGTCATGCAGGGGACAGCTACTCAGGTGTCCCTTTCACCTCGATGTTTCTCTCTCTTCCTCTCTCTCCCTCCCACTCTATCTGAACAACAAAAAAATAAAAACATATGAGTAGGATATAGAAAATTTATTTTAAATCTAGCAGATTTGGATAGGTTATTATTTATTTATTTGGTAAGAAGACTAGACCACTGCCTCTGTTTTGCTAATCTGAGCTTAACAAGATATCTCCAATTGAGCAACATTCTTTCTGAATTATGGAACAACATGTGAGCCAAGTAAATCTTGAAAAATATAATCAGCCCAAAGTGAACACTGAGAAGACAAGATAGTGATTAACTATGGATTGTCTAAAACTGATTGTAGGTATTAAAAGGAAATAGTACACCCGAAATATGAAAAAGTAGTAGAATATTACAGAAGACACATAAATAAAACTCACCGGTGTTAGGGTCTCAGGATGTGGAGTCAAATCATTCCCACTCTGAAAAGGAATTAAGGCCCCAGAAGAATCGCCGCAAACTATGTCTTGAGTTGAATGCAAGGGCTCACTACATTTTAGGAAATTAAACTCTGTCTTTCCACCCTGGGCAACGCACAGATTGTAGGAATAGGGCAGTGTTCCCTCACTGTAGTTGGGTGGAACCACAGGTCTAGACTTGGAGCAGAGACCAGGATGAAAGCAGCCCCAAACGGAGGGGTTGGAGGAGCGACGAAAGTGCAGGGAGACCGCCAGAATCACCGCGAGGAGGAAAAGCACGGAGATCAAGGCCAGGGCCACCACCAGATAAAACTGCAGCTCAGCCTGGGGGTCAGAGGGTGCGGGAAGGTCGCTGAGATCCGGCAGTACCTCTTGTAGGCTGTCCGCAAAGACCAGGAGCAGAGTGGCGGTGGCAGAGAGGGGCGGCTGTCCCCCATCACGCACAGCGACCAGCAGGCGCTGGCGGGCCGCGTCCCTTTCGCCCAAAACTCGCGCTGTGCGCACCTCGCCCGTGCGCAGCCCCAGGCTGAACAGTCCAGGCTCACTGGCCTGCAGCACGTGGTAGGACAGCCAAGCATTGTGTCCTGAGTCCGCGTCCACCGCCACCACCTTAGTGACCAGGTAGCCTGGTTGCGCTGCGCGTGGCACGGTGTCGAAGAGCGCCGAGCCGTCGGGCCCCAGCGCCGGGTACAGCACCCTTGGCGCGTTGTCGTTGCGGTCGCCCACCAACACGCGCAGGCTCACGTTGGCGCTGAGCGCGGGCGAGCCCTGGTCGCGGGCCTGCAGAGTCAGCTCGAAGGCGCGCAGCTGCTCGTGGTCGAAGGCGCGCTGCGCGAACACCACCCCGCTCTGCGCGCTCACGGACACGTAGGACGACAACGCCCGTGGCTCCAGGTCGCTGGCCACGATGGCGTAGGAGACGTGGCCATTGGGTCCCAGGTCGGGGTCGGAGGCGCTGACCTGAGCTATGGAGGCCCCTGGGGGGTTGTTTTCTGGCACATGGACCAGGTAGGCGGACTGTTGGAAAACCGGAGCATTGTCGTTGACATCGGTGATGCGCAGGGTGATGGTTGTGCTGGAGGAGAGGGGCGGCTTGCCCCTGTCAACGGCTGTGATGGTGACATTGTATTCTGGGGTCCGTTCTCGGTCTAGGGCTCCATCTGTCACCAACTTGTAGTACTTATTAGAAGAGGAGTAAATCTTGAAAGGAACATCTCTTTCTATATCACATATGACCTCTCCATTTCCTCCGAAATCCGGGTCCCGTGTTTTGAAGAGGGCAACAACCATTCCTGAACGGGAATCCTCCAAAATCTCATCAGAAAGAGAAGTGATTATTATTTCTGGGCTGTTGTCGTTTTCATCTAGGATTTCTATGATTACTTTACAATGGGTAGAGAGACCCCCTCCGTCCTTTGCTTCCACTTCCATAGTATATCTTTCCATATCCTCAAAATCCAATGATTGGTTATTCTTAATCATGCCTGTTTTCTCATCCAGTGAGAACATGTGCCTCGTACTCTGAGCAGTGCTCCTGAAGTAGTAGTTTATTTCGGCATTGACCCCCTCATCCTTATCAGTGGCTGTCACCTGCAACACAGAGGACCCAGGGGGCAGATTTTCACTTACAGTGACTCTATATTCTTCTTTGCTAAACACCGGAGGGTTGTCATTGATATCTTTCACAAAAATTTCTATTCTAACTGTGGCACTTCGTGGCGGGTCCCCTCCGTCCAAGGCAGTTAATATCAAGCGATGAGACCGCTGCTCTTCCCGGTCTAGGGGTTTCTCCAAAGATAACTCTGGGTATTGGCCACCATCGGAATTAACTCTAACCATTAATTTGAAATAAGGGTTAGGATTTATCTGATAATCTTTAATTGAGTTTATGTTTATATCGGGGTCAGTGGCAGGGTCAAGGGATATTCGTGCACCTGTGGATACAGATTCAAAAATTTCTAAACGTATGTCCTTTTTATCGAATTGAGGGGCATGGTCATTAGTATCCTCAACATTCACAATGATATGAAAAATATTTAAGGGATTTTCCACCACAGCCTCCAACTGTAACTCACATCTTCTTCTCTCTTTGCAAATCTGCTCACGATCTATTCGGTCCTTCACAAGTAAGTTCCCGCTCTCCGCGTCTATACTGAAAAGCAGCTTCTCCGCGCTAACTCGTAGCTTCCGAGAGGACACCTCCTGGACATTGAGCCCTAGATCCTTGGCGAGGTTCCCTACTACCGAGCCCTTGGCCAGCTCCTCGGGAATCGAATATCGGATGGGCTCGCAGAACGCGCGGTAGAACAAAAGCAGCAGGAAGGGAAACAGTACCTGCAGCCGGCCAGTTCCGCGTCTCTGCGCGCAGCTCCCTCCCATTGTGCGCTCGAATTCTCGTTGGGTCCCAGTCTTTCTGGAAAGCTGAAGAAACTGCAAACCACAGCGTCACTGGAAGAGCATTCGGCCCAGGACAGACGAAGCTGGGAATCCGTTTGTGCTGGGGCGAGTCTGCGCGGACAGGAGTCCCAGTGTTTAAACGGATTTCCTTCTCTGTGTTGGTGGCTGCGCAAGGAAATCCCAGGCTAGAGGCTCAAGAATCCCGGGCGTCAGCGCTAGCCCTGCACTGGCCGACAGCGGCGCCCAGAGTCCCCGTGTAGAACTGCAGTTTGACGTTTTAGTCTTGAATCCAATTTATCTCCAGAAGATATATCCCTATCTTCAAAAATGCTTATATAATAGCCCCGAATTTTTGTTTACATTGGTTGCCTATATAATTAGTGTTTTCATGAAATGTATTATGGAAGACTTCAAACTTATACTAAGTCGGGAGCATTAGTATTGAATCTTCATATACCCATCACCCAACTGCAAGAATGATCAACACAAGACCATCTTTGTTTAATGTATATTGTCTCCCCTCATTATTTTGAAGATGAGACATTAAGGTGATCAAGAATTTTATCTTTAAGCCTATTATTTTATATAACCTTTTAAATATGCAAAAGTCCCACCTAGTTTAAGAAAACTAGAATTTACCATTTTCCCCACTCTGCCCAGTTATTCTATCAGTAAGCTTTGTGTTCTGTTTTTAAAGGAAGTGACATTTTTATTCTAGAGAATAGTAGTTACCTACCATGACATAGAAGCCTTCATCAATATCTATGTTATTACCCTTTTTAAAGTTAATACATATTTTAATGTTTGTGAATATTAAGTACTAAAGATTACTCCCCAGGGCAGAAACATTAACCAAAAGATTTCCTTACTGTATGGTTAAAAATATGATCATGAACGATGGTTTACTTTTTTCCTATTAGCTTAGAAACAGAGAATATTTGAAATAATTATGTCTGTATGTCCCAGACATATTAGCATTTGTATTCAGCATGTTTAGAATAACATTTGAGTCAGCTTCAAAGCTTATTTTCAAAGTCTTCTAGAGTATCATTTATTATTTGAAATGACAGTATGTATAAAATCAAATTAAATAATACATTATTCTTTTTCTGATAGCTAAAAGCCAGTAAAGTATTGTTAGAACCTCCTTAGCAGTTTCTGAGAATATTTTTCTAAATCATCTCCCATAACCAGATGTATTTCCAGCCTCACAGGTTGAAGAACTGAGCCACAAATAACACAGTCAAAAAGTAATTTTTATTTCCCTTTTCTCTTTTCAGAATGTTCAGTCTCAGAAACCTCTCTTGAGCAGACATAAGGAAGAGTTTCAAGCTGTTAGTAATTTGAGAATATGAAAAGAATGTTAAAATTCTCACCATTAAAAGAATAAACAAGGATGTCAGCATAGGTAAATGCAATACTCACCTCCTCCCACAACCACATCAAAATTACAACTAAACTACAGGACAACTATCATTCAGAACCACCTGAAATTGAGCTGAATGGAAGTACTACAGCTACAAAATTAAAGAAGAAGCCACATCAAAACTGGTGGGAGGGGCAGAGGCATGGATAGGCTGGTCCTACACCCACAAGTGGAAGATAAAAATCAGGAGGGCTACCTTGTCTGGGAAGGTCCTTCCTGAGGCACAAGGGGTCCCCATCCCACATCAGGCCCCACAGCTCAGGGTTCCAGTACCAGTAAGAGAAGTCCCTGTCACTTCTGGCTGTAAAAACCAGTGGGAATTGAGGCTGGGGGAGGCTGAGGCTCCCAGAGTCCCAGGCAGTTCCTCTTAAAGGGTCCATACATGAACTTACTCAAAGCCACTTCCTCCACGCTCCAGTGTGGGGGAGGCAGCTTGACAGGCACCAGAAACATACCAACAAGAACTGAGTTTTTTGGCATTGGGGTGGGAGCTGGAGAGGCAGCTTTCTCCCAGGCAGACGTGCTGGTGGAGGCCTTTATTCCTTTGATGAGCCCTTCCCCAATAGGGCAGGCAGATGGGTGCCATACTTGGGACTCCAGCAACCTGGCTCACACTGTTTGCCCCATCCTGGTGATTTCCTGAAGCCCTGCCCCACCCAACTTTCAGGTCCACCCAAGATGTTTCCAGTGGCTTTACCATAGGACTTGCCTATCTTGGCTCTTGCTTCAGATTTTCTTAAATTGTCTCAAATAAACAGTACCTGGAAATCTAACAGATTCAGAGTTCAAAACACTGGTTACAAGGATGCTCATACCTCTGGCTAACTGGCCCCCAGGCCTGGCACTAGAAGCAGCCAGCCTTGGTTCATAGCCTGGCTGGCCTGGGCACTTTCAAGACCAGCACAAGAAGCAGCCATCTGTAGATTGCTTTGTAGCTTATGCCTGGTGGCCCCAGGTAGAACACAGGCAGAGGCTGACCTTGCCGCAGCTAGCACACCCAGTGAACAGCTTCAGACCACCATGTTGAAGGACCACAACCCAACAACCTCCACAGCAACACATTCAAGGAGTGGATACCAGTGGGTACCAGAGTTCTGCTGAAGTATGTCTTGCTCTGTGTGGTGGACCCTGCACAGCTGATCCTCCAAGGTAGTCAGAGGTCAGTGGTCAGTGGTCAGAGCCAGTCCTTACAGCTGATAAGCCTGAGTAAATCCCTCCCATTAATATACCAATAGCAATCAAGACTCAATTACAACAGAAGAGTGGACAGTCCACACCAGGGGTACACCTCAAGGGTTCAGCTGGGGTAACCTGGGAGGCTGTGTCACTGGACCCTACAGGACACCTACTACAAAAGGCCACTCTGGGAAGCCTAGGAGACATAGCAACTCTACCCAATACATAGAAACAAACACAGGGAGGCAGCCAAAATGAGGAGACAAAGAAATATACCCCAAATGAGAGAACAGAACAAAACTCCAGGAAAAGAACTAAAAAAAAAAAAATGGAGATAAGCAATCTAACAGATGCAGAGTTCAAAACACTGGTTATAAGGATGCTCAATGAACTTAGGAATTTCAAGGAACTTAGTGAGAACTTCAAGAGCATAAGAAAGAACCAGTCAGAAATGAAGAATGCACAAACTTAAATAAAGAATAATTTATAGGGAATCAACAGAGTAGGTGAAGCAAAGAAGCAAACCATTGATTTGGAATATAAGGAAGAAAAAAACAACAACACCCAGTCTGAACAAAGAATCCAAAATAATGAGGACAGTGTAAGGAACCTCTGGGAGAATTTCAAAATTTGCATCGGGGGAGGGGAGTGCCAGGGGAAGAGAGCGAACAAGAGACTGAAAATATTTTTGAAAAAATAATGGCAGAAAACTTCCCTAACTTGGTGAAGAAAACAGACATACAAGTCCTGGAGCACAGTCCCAAACAAGATGAACCCAAAGAGGTCCACACCAAGACACATCATCATCAAAATGCAAAAGGTTAAAGACTAAGAGACTCTTAAAAGCAGCAAGAGAAAAGCAGTTAGTTACCTACAAGGGAGCTCCCATAAGATAGTCAGCTGATTTCTCAAAAGAAACTTTGCAGACTAGAAAGGCAAGAGATATTCAAAGTGATGAAAAGTAACAACCCACACCAAGATTACTCTATCCTGCAAAGCTATCATTTAGAATTGAGGGACATATAAAAAGTTTCCCAGACAAAAAACACTGAAGGAGTACACCACCAAACCAGTATTATATGAAAAGTTGATGGGTCTTCTTGAAGAAGAAGGAGGTGGAGAAGAAGGAAGAGAAGGAGGAGGAGGAAGAGGAGGACGAGGATGAGGACGAGGACGAGGACGAGGAGGAGGACGAGAAAAATATGAACAATAAAATGGCAATAAATACATGTCTATCGACAACTGAATCTACAAACAAAATGAGCAATCAGAACAAAAACAGACTCATAGATACAGAGAACTTTTTGTTGGTTGCCAGGTGGGAGGGGGCTAGGAGGATGGGTGAAAAAGGTGAAGGGATTAAGAAGTTAAATTGGTTGTTAGACTGACGAACCTCAAAGGGAAGGAGGGAGGGAGGGTGGGAGGGAAGAGATAAACCAAAGAACTTATACACATATATGCATAACCAATGGACAGAAACAATGGTGTGGGGAAGGCAGGAGGGGGAATGGGAGTGGGGAGGAGGGGGTCAGTGGGAGAAAAGGGGAGGCACCTGCAATACATTCAACAATAAAGATATGTTTAAAAAGAATATAACATGCTTTAAAAGGAGTTGGAAATGGATAACTGAAGTTTGAATCTTTCTTAGAAATGATCTTTAGCCTTGGCCGGTTTGGCTCAGCGGTTGGAGCATCCACCTGCGGACCAAATAGTCCCAGGTTCGGTTTCCGCTAGGGGCACATACCAAAAAAATAAAAATAAAAATAAATAAATAAAATAAAATTACCCAGACCTTTTTTTTTTTTTTTTTTTTTTTTTAAAGAAATGATCTTTAAATGCAAACAACCTCTACACATGTTAGATCTGGAAAACATCACCTCAAAGGGGTGTTGTCCTGTCATAAAAATAGAAGAGCAGAAGCAGCAATCTGGGCCTTCAGTTGTTTCTCAGAGAAGAATGCATTTGCCTTTTTATTAATTTACCCTTGCGAAATAGTATTGACTGTATTAATCTTTTTCAAATAAGAATTCCACAACATGGCTATTGGAGATAACAATAAGTTTCAGGAATGGAAAACCAGCCCTAAAATTAGTAGTGAAACAGGGTAACTAATAAAGTAGCCCTATCAAAAAAGCTCATGATAATTCTCAATCATGAGAGCAGCCCCAAAGAGAAGGTTTTGTTGACTCAGTTACTTATTTTGAGAAAATAAAAATTATATAAATGATGTAACCAATAAATGCTTTCTATAGATGTTAGAGCAAAAACTGGACCCAGTAAAAACTTAAATGGTGAAAATATGTTAATATCAACATATCCTACCTAAAGTACAAACTCTTGTAGAGAAAACCAGTTATAACAGAAAGTAAAGGAAATAAATTGAACTCACTGGAACCAAAAGGGTGTCTTTTATAGGAAACCTGGAATCATCTGAAACACACAAAGGATCCTTTTTCTCACTGCTCTCTTCGCTGATGAGTGTGTCCGCATAGTTGGGCTGGGGGAAGATCAGGTCACTCTTCCTTGAGTCAGTGGTGAGGAAGACCTCATGGGAATAGGTCTGCAGGAAAGCCTGAAATCCGTCCATGCCTACAAAACGAGAAGACTGCATGCCCGCCAATCCACCGCCAGAAGCCTGAAGCAGACGTGATGTGTGCCAACGCCTAAGCCTGAGCGCTAGCAGGATGATAATGAAGGCAAGGAAGACACAGGAGACCGCAGCCACAGCAACTACCAGGTACAATGTGAGGTCCGAGGCCTCCGGATTCAAAGGGACCTCAAGATTGCCAAAGCCAACCAACACATCTGGGATGTTGTCAGCCAAGGCCACGGTGAGCATGACAGTGGCCGACAGAGGGGGCTGACCATGGTCCTGAACAGCCACCACCAGACTCTGCCTAAGCGCATCTCGGTCCAGCAGGGCCCGCACAGTGCGCACCTCGCCCGTGTGCAGCCCCACGGCGAAGAGCCCTGGTTCGCTGGCCTTGAGCAGACGATAGGACAACCAGGCATTCTGGCCTGAGTCTCTGTCCACTGCCACCACCTTAGTCACGAGGTATCCAGGTTCTGCGGAGCGGGGAGCCAGCTCCACTCCAGTGGAACCATCAGTGGGGATGGCGGGGTACAGGATCTCTGGCACATTGTCGTTCTGGTCCAGCACAAACAAGCTCAGTGACACGTTGCTGCTGAGTGGAGGATCTCCACTGTCACTTGCCCTAATCTGCACTTGAAGATCTCGAAACTGCTCATAGTCGAAGGGGTGAAGTGCGTAAAGCACACCAGTATCTGCATTGATGGAGACATAAGAGGAGAGAGGCACCCCTTGGATGGTGTCTTCTGCCAAGGAGTAAATAACTCGGGCATTCTCATTGCTGTCAGGATCATGGGCTGTCACAGAGAAGATGGAGGTACCTCTAAGGTTGTTCTCCAAGACATAGCCTGAGTAGGAGGTTTGAGAGAAGGAGGGTGGATTGTCATTGATGTCAGCCACATGCAGAGTGATGTGAATTTCTGTGGACAGGGGCGGTGTTCCTCTGTCTGTTGCAGTCACTGTGATGTTGTATTCAGAGGTTTTTTCTCGGTCAAGAATTTGGGATGTCAACAATCTATAATAATCTTCTATTGACTTTTCTAATTGAAAAGGTAGAATCTCCTGGATGGAACAAACAACTTGACCATTTTTCCCGGAGTCTCGGTCATAAGCATTGAAAAGAATGACCACTGTTCCTTGAGGAGCATCTTCCCTCACTGGACTAAACAGAGATGTAATGATCACTTCGGGTCTATTGTCATTTATATCTTCCACGGAAATGAGCACTTTTGTCCAAGCCTTCAACCCTCCACCATCTTCAGCTTGTATTTCCATTTCATAAAATGCACGTTCTTCATAGTCTAGACTTTTTGCTGTTGATAATTCCCCAGTGTTTTCATTGAGCTGGAATAACGGAGATTGTTTTTCACTAATCTTCCAGAATTTATATGCCACTTCTCCATTGGCTCCCTCATCCGGGTCACTAGCTCTTACAGTAAGTAGCTGGGTGCCAGGGGGCACGTTCTCTGGGACTGTCATTCTGTAAATTGGTTGAGCAAACACAGGCGCATTGTCGTTCACATCCACTACCGTCACTAGGATGTGCACTGTGCTGGAGTGACTTGGTTTGCCGCCATCGGAGGCGATGAGGACAAGTTGGTGAGCAGCCTCTTCCTCCCGGTCCAGGGCGCGCTCCAGCACCAACCCTGGGTTTATAGTTCCATCGTCTCCAGTTCGAAGGTTCAGAGAGAAGTGGTAATTAGGACTGAGCTGATAGCTCTGCAGGGAATTCAAGCCCACATCTGGGTCAACAGCTTCTGGCAGTGGATAACGTATGCCTGGCACCGCGATTTCGTTAATTTTTATTTCCAGATTTTCTGCCTGGAATTTTGGAGCATTGTCGTTTATATCAGTGACTTCTATTTCTATTCCATAAAATTGCACTCTGTCTTCAACCAGAACTTTAAAGTTAAACAGACACTGGATGCTCTGGGCACAGAGCTCCTCTCTGTCTATTCTGCCCGCGGTTACCAAGCTGCCACTTCGCGGGTTCAGAGCAAAGAGCTGCGTCCTACCTCTGGAGACGATGCGGACTCCGCGCTCCGCCAGCTCCCGGGGCTCCAGCCCCAGATCCTTGGAGATGTTGCCCACAATATAGCCTTTTACTGTCTCTTCAGGCACGGAGTAGTGGATCTGACTGGCCTGGATCTCCCACAACCTTCCCAGGAAAAGGCACAGCAGGACCATTCCTCTGTGGTGCGGGCTATTCACTGCAGCCTCCATTGTTGCTTCACTTCAGATTTTTTTTTTACTGCTTTCTTTGGACGCTGACTCCTTAGGTTCTTTTTTCCTCCTGCAAATTATGGTGATCTTTTTGCTCAGGTGAAACCCGGAAGCCCCAAATTGAGAGGCTGAGTTTTATTGCAGTCCTGGAGTAGGTATGTGGGATCTGTGGGGCTTTGTGTACTTGCAGAATCCAATATCTCGATGGAGCGCTGATTGAGGTTTCTTAGAGTTGGTGAACAGCGGCGCTCAGAGTCCTAAGTCGTTACTACACTCACAGAGATATGCAATACAGTACTTTTTTTTTTTTTTAAATGACAGATGATTGAAGGAAAACACTACTCTCTTCTAATTACGACTTTAGATTTCTCTAATTGTTCCTTACATTCATATTTCAAAAGCAATTATCTTGTGGAATGAAATTTCTATTAAATGTATTATTATATCGCCGTTTTTCTTAATATCAAATTAACTCAATCTAATTCTGGGTAGAATCTGGCTTTCTATCTATTTTCAACTTTAGACATATATGTATGTTACATAATTTATATTGAATGAATACATATGGATAGATTTTTCACTTTGAAGTTATTTTATAAGGTTAATTATTTTGATAGTAAAATTTCTCCAGTAAGATTTCCTTAAAATTTTATTTGCAAAATAATCTTTTTTTTTTATCCTCACCTGAGGACATTTGTGCATTTATCTTTAGACAGAGCGAGAGGAAGAGAGGGGGGAAGTGAGAGAGAGAAACATGGAGAGACACATCAACTGGTTGCCACCCACACAACCCCAACCTGGGGCCAGGGACAAACTGCAACCAAGGTACGTGCCCTTAGCGGGAACTGAACCCGGGACTCTCCGGTCCATGGGCTGATGCTCTAACCGCTGAGCCAAACCGGCCAGGGCTGCAAAATAATTAGGCAATAGACTTTCTCACCTAATGTTACTAAATTTAAAAAGCATTTTAAAAAAATGTACATATTTGTGATTGTAAAACTTATGTTATTTCAAAAATGTTTAGCTTTCTATGTGAATATATAATGAATTTGGAAGATTCAAATAAACATACATTGAAAAGCAGGTTTTCATTTAAATCATTTAATCAAGAAATCATGCTATTTTGAAGTAGTCTTAAACTTCTTATTCTTAGAGTCACTGAAACTTATGTAATAATTTGGGGAAAAGACCACAAGATAATTGTTAACACTAGAAAGTAAAAAGTAAGTGCCTATTAAAGAAACTACTTTCACCAGTTTGCAATGACACCATTTACTGAAGCAGTTCCTAAGGGAAACAAGCAAAAGACTGGTACTTATTTAATGACAAGTTTGTATGTGCATGAGTTAGAAATTTTTGTCTTTAAATTTAGCATTCTCCTTTCTTCCTACAGATATATTGATGATGAGAAAAATTCTAATCAACAGTGTTTAAGACTCCAAATAGTAAGACAAATCTAGGGACTTTCCTCCTCTATTTAAAAAAAATAAAGGTCAGAGATGAGAGTAAGTGATAGAGGCAGTAGCATTTCCTTTTCTTTTATCAAGTTTATCTTTCTGAAAACTATGAAAGGAAGAGAAGATTTTGCATTCAAGAGAACTTGAAGGAGCCCTGGCCGGTTTGGCTCAGCCGTTGGAGCTTCGACCTGCAGTACAGAGAGACCCGGGTTGGGTTCCCGCTAAGGGCACGTACTTACCTCGGTTGCAGTTTGTCCCCAGCCCTGGTTGGTCCTGCGGGTGGCAGCCACTCGATGTGTCCCTTTCACATCGATGTTTCTCTCTCTCTCTCTTCCTCTCTCTCCCTCCCGCTCCATCTGAACAAAAAATGGAAAAATGTCCTCGGGTGAGGATAAAAAAGAGAGAACTTGAAGGAACTTAGATAATGATTTGGACCTTCCGGTGAGTTCATTGAGTCTCTCTCTCTCTCTCTCTCTCTCTCTCTCTCTCTCTCTCTCATTATTTTCCTTACAATTTCAATGGATTCAAAGAATCATCAATAAGTAGAAATAAGAAACTAGACACGAGGAATAAATATAAGGGACAGAAACAATACCAGTGAAATCAGTGAAGTAGTAGTTTCTTTGCTCTAAAGGGTGAATTAAATGATTGCCTATTTTAATATTTACTTGTATTAAAAATCTTAATATGTTAAATAAGGAATGAGACAATTAGTGGGTGAATTTCAATAGCTTTTGGAAAAAAAGGTAAGAAATTGGTACAATACTTTGGCTGTGAAAACAGAACGCACTTTCACTATGTAGATCCAAACCTGGTAGATATGGCACATAACTACTCCCAATTCAACACTAACCTTGAAGAATGGAAGTATAGCTTTCTGACAGGCTATAGTATCCCTAAGACAATTGACTAGACTTGGAAATATAACATATTTTCATATAAATATGGACAATTGGGTAGATGATGAAAAAGGACTAGACTAGACATTTAAATGGAACTCACCGCCGTTAGTGTTTCAGGATGGGAAGTCGACTCAACAGAACTACATAGTGGAAATAAGGCCCCAGATGAATCATCACAAAGTATGTCTTGTCCAGAATTCAACTGCTCATTACATTTTAGAAAATTAAACTCTGTCTTTCCACCCTGGGCAACGCACAGATTGTAGGAATAAGGTAAAGTCCCTTCATTGTAGATGGGGGGAACCACGGGTCTAGTCTTAGTACAGAGACCAGGCTGAAAGCAGCCCCAGGTGGTGGGGCTGGAGGAGCGGCGAAGACGCAGGGCGACCGCCAGAATCACCGCGAGGAGGAAGAGCACGGAGATCAAAGCCAGGGCCACCACCAGGTAAAACTGCAACTCAGCCTGGGGATCAGAGGGTGTGAGGCGGTCACTGAGGTCTGGCAGTGCCTCTTGAGGGCTGTCCGCAAAAACCAGGTGCAGCGTGGCGGTGGCTGAGAGGGGCGGCTTTCCTCCGTCGCGCACAGCGACCAGTAGGCGCTGGCGGGCCGCGTCCCTTTCGCCCAAAGCACGCGCTATGCGCACCTCGCCCGTGCGCAGCCCCAGGCTGAATAGTCCAGGCTCGCTGGCCTGCAGCACGTGGTAGGACAGCCAGGCATTGTGTCCTGAGTCCGCGTCCACCGCCACCACCTTAGTGACCAGGTAGCCCGGTTGCGCTGCGCGTGGCACGGTGTCGAAGAGCGCTGAGCCATCGGGCCCTAGAGCTGGGTACAGTACCCTTGGCGCGTTGTCGTTGCGGTCGCCCACCAACACGCGCAGGCTCACGTTGGCGCTGAGCGCGGGCGAGCCCTGGTCGCGGGCCTGCAGAGTCAGCTCGAAGGCGCGCAGCTGCTCGTGGTCGAAGGCGCGCTGCGCGAACACCACCCCGCTCTGCGCGCTCACGGACACGTAGGACGACAATGCCCGTGGCTCCAGGTCGCTGGCCACGATGGCGTAGGAGACGTGGCCGTTGGGTCCCAGGTCGGGGTCCGAGGCGCTGACCTGCGCTATGGAGGCCCCGGGCAGGTTGTTTTCTAGCACATGGACCAGGTAGGCGGACTGTTGGAAAACCGGAGCGTTGTCGTTGACATCGGTGATGTGCAGGGTGATGGTAGTGCTGGAGGAGAGGGGTGGCTTGCCCCTGTCGGTGGCTGTGATGGTAACATTGTACTCCGGGGTCTGTTCCCGGTCTAGGGACCCCTCTGTTACCAACTTATACGAACTTTTGGATGAAGAGATAATCTGAAACGGTACTTTATCCTCTAGTCGACAATTAACCTCCCCATTCTCCCCAGAATCTTGGTCATGTATTTTGATTAAAGCAATTAGCGTTCCTGGCACTGCGTTTTCCAGAATTATTTCCACTATAGAATGGAATGTAATTTCTGGACTGTTGTCATTTTCATCTTGAATGTTAATTTCAACTGTACATTGTGCAGCCAGTCCTCCACCATCCCTTCCTTCCACTACTATAGAATATTCCTTGATTTCTTCGAAATCCAGTGTCCTTAAAGTGGTCACTTCCCCGCTCTTTGAATTCAGGTGGAACATTTGCGCGGTCCTGTAGAAGGAATAAGTTATTTCTGAGTTGATACCCTCGTCCAGGTCGGTGGCTGACACCTGCAGCACACTGGTGCCTGGGGGCACATTTTCTGGAATGCTGACTTTGTATACGTCCTGCTTGAATACAGGGGGGTTATCATTGGCGTCAGTGACATTTATCCGGAGCTCAATGGTACCGCTTAGGGGTGGATCTCCGCCATCCACGGCAGTGAGGACTAACCGATGATAATTCTGTTGTTCCCGGTCTAATGGTTTCTCCAATGTCAGTTCTGGGTATTTACTACCATCTTGTTTCTCCTTATTTATCAAGGAGAAACTAGGGCTGAGAGAGAGTTTGTAATTCTGCAGAGAGTTTAAGCCAGTATCTCCATCTTCTGCTACTTCTAATATAAATCGCGTGCCTGGCAGTGTGGACTCACTTATTTGCAGCTCAAAGGAATTGTGCATGAATTTCGGGCTGTGATCATTAATATCCTCGAGCTCCACGTTCACGTGGTAAAAATTCGATGGATTTTCAGCAACAGCCTCAAATTCCACAGCACAGACTGGCTTCTTCCCGCATATCTGCTCCCGGTCCAGCCTGCTGCTTACAAGTAACTCCCCGCGCTCTGCGCTCACAGTGAAGTAAGGCTTCTCAGAACTGACGCGCAGTTTTCGAGTCGGTAACTCGCGCACACTGAGTCCCAGGTCCTTGGCGAGGTTCCCCACCACCGAGCCCTGGGGCATTTCCTCGGGAATCCTGTAGCGGATCGGCTCAGAGAGCGCCGGCCACAACAAAGACAGCAAGAAGGGAAAGAGCACTGGCCGCCGCTCAGCCCAGCCCCTGTCCCCAGAGCCGCTCCCCATCCCTTTTGTTCCCCTCAGCTTGCTCACCGGCCTGTCGACGCCGGACGACAAGTAATCCCTGTGTTGTAGACGTTCGGAGCTCCGAACAGGCTTTAGTTTCTGCCTGGGGGTCAGGGTTTCTTCTTTTCCAGAGGAGGAAGCGGTGGAAAGGGTCGCTCTAGCGGGTCTGAGACGAGGAAAGTGAGCTGCGGCTGCGCGAAGCGATCGGCAGGGCCGAGCCC